CCCCAAAACCCCAAAACCCCAAAACCCCAAAACCCCAAAACCCCTTTTAATGATATTTAGATTGGATACTAGTCTGACCTCTTAAGTTATTCATGATTATCAATATATAATTGAGAACCCTCAATTCCATGAATCAAAGATCTTTTTATACTTAGCAAGTGAGTAACTTCGCAATGAAACTAGCAGGTTTCAGAGTAGTATCTAATCATTTTCAGAAGGATTCTTTGATGTCTCTGAATAATATGTGTTTATTCTAAACTATTTTCAGTTAATAGAAAATACTGAGCATTCACTGGTTATGAGCAGGTAATAAAGTAACCAAATCTATGAACTAAAGAACTTTCTGGCCATTTTAGCAGAAAGAACTTCTGTCAAGAAGTAAAGCTTGTATTTACTGCTTTGAGATCCATGCTTAGGAATTATTCGTAATTGACATTAAGGCTGCACTTCACATCAAATGCTTTTGATTTCTATCGAAAAATTCAAAGTTCCAAAAATTGGTTAAATATTATCAAGATTAAATTTCGTGGTTGGAGAGAAGAGCAGTCTCTTTTTAGTATGAATACAGTTTAAGTTACTCTAGCTTATGCTTTATCAATGAAATTATAACATTGATCTTCCCATACAAAAATAATGATCAAAAGCGGTGAAAACAGAATTTCCGAATACAATTCCCCAATAAAAATCCACCCAGGAAAATTTTGTCCATAAAACCTTAATCGCATCTCATTTCCCCTAAAAAATATTCCAAAACCCCCTTCCCCCTTCAAAAGCCCTCCAATCCAAACCCTCTCATCCAACCCTCAACCCCCTAATTTCCTCAAAAATCCAGTCCCATTCCCTCAATCCCTTCCATTCCAACCCTCTACAATAAATCCCTAACCCATCCAAAATTAGTACCTTGTTCCAGTCAACTTTTAAGAAATGACTGGAACTAAAGGAAACAGGCTCGGTTAAGTTATTAGTAGGATTATGTTAGCAGAAAGGACTGGCTAGGTCAGTGACAGTGACCAGTCTTTCGGAAGGGGGTTGGTGCGTTTGGAGGTTTTGGTAAGTTGGATGGTTTTTGGGATTTTGGCGATTTTGGCGATTTTTACGATCGGGGTGGGTGAATGTGGGAGTTTCTTGGGAATCTGAGAGGGAGGTATGTAGTTTCCTGATTTGAATGGCTTTTTGGAGGAGGTCTCTAATGTCGCTTTGGAGGGTTTTTGTCGAGGATTCGGTCATTGCAGACTTTTTATGATGCGAAAGTCTTCTGCTTTCGGTAGATGATTCGAAATCGCTTGAGGGAAGTTTGGTTTTAGGGTCAGGTACTGGGAAAGAAGTAACCTTCCGAAATTTCATAGTCTTTAGCTTATGATCAAATGGAGCTTTCGATCATTTAGTATCGAGATGCAAAGACTGAATTAAAGATGGTCTAGATACATGCTCATCCAAAATTTCATCAGTTATATTTTCTTCACTATTTTTAAAGAGGTCCATGTTAAATATTTATAATACCAATACTCTTAGCTTCTATGGGGTTTTGGGGTTTTGGGGTTTTGGGG